AGTTCATCTCAACAATAACACTATTATTCCAACAATCCAACTTGATATTAACCTCCCAGATATAATTACCAAAACCAAGATTTCCCACTTCCATAACTCAAGTATCCATAAATTCTTCTTTCTTAAACTTGGAAGTGTAAGGCTAGAAATTAAAGCTGGAGTTATCAAAATAAAACCCACCAATTGGAGGAAAAACCATAGACTTTTTCTCTCTAAGTCCTCGTCGACTAACTGATCCTGCTCCTCCTCTTCTTCCACAACATTTACAACTGTATGGTCCATCATCCGAAGTGGTCTTTGAGTGCATTTTAAGAAAGCATTCGAGGAGTACCTCACATCCTCACTGTTATCACCAGTGCCGTCCTTCGCTGGTGACTCCGAAGCTGGATTTTCAAGCGGCAGCTCAACAATCTCCACAGAAATCTAGCCGGACTCCATTGCTTGCTAACTAGATTAATTTAAACAAATATGAATTAATGTTATTTTAAATTAATTAAGGTAATTAATTAAAGAAAGAGTCCCCTCATATTGAGCCAAAAGCAACAATATCTCACAAGAATAAAAATATATAGAAATTAAACAGTCATCGCAACCCAAAAAAAAAGAAGATAAATAAAGCAGCTAAAGGAAGAGGTGTAAATGCAAGCTACCTTAGTTAGTTCAAGCCTTGATTAATTTTGGATCAATTCAAACTAATCTAAATTAATGTTAGTTTAAATTAATTAAGGTAATTAAAACAAAATAACTTATGAGGTCTAAGTTCATCCATTATTAGAACTTTAACATTTGGGCCTGGTGGGCTTAAGGTGGGTTTGGTCCATTTCTTCCTCTTCTATGCTTTTTTTTTTGAAAATTCAATATGGAATCGGGCCGGTCCCAAACTTAAAATAAAATGAAATAAGACAAGAGGCCCACAAGAAGAGTCGAGTCATACGACCCGACTAACAGACCCGGATAAGAAACCGGGTCAAAACGGATTAAAAGCAGAGAAGGTGTGACCGGCTTTCACGTGGCCGAAGCCAGGTCCAATTCCGGCCGATTCTGGGCAACTTCCTAGATACCGGCGGTCTTAAAAAATTTCAAAAAAAAAAAAAAAGGGGCAAAAACCCAGGTAAATGGCAGCTTTTTGGTATTTTTGTCCAACAGAACCAGCCCTCAGCCAGGAATCTGCAGAACCAGCCTAATAATGCAGTTTCCGGTGCCTCAAAAAAATGCAGGAAAAAGGCCAGAGATTCCAGATTCAATTTTTAAGCCAGGATAGAGGAAACCTAATGTTGAGTTGGTCCACCACGGGCATTTATGCA